AGATACTTCTCCAGCAAATCCTTGTAGCATTTTGTTTGCATCTGTGACATGCCAACTTTAAGTATCGTCTCCTTCTTTGGTGGCAAATCTTTCTCAACATCTGACCTTAGCCTCTGAAGAAGAGAAGGTCGAAGAACCTTGTGAAGTTGTTGAACAAATTTCTTCCGGTCATCCTTACCAGAAATTTTAACCCATTCATCATAATAAGTCTCGGCTGAACTAGAAATTTTAGGCAGAAGAAAATTGAGGAGATCCCACAGTTTTTCATGGCTATGGTTCTGCATATATGAACAAGGAATTAAGAAGTAAAATTAAGAGTACAAACAGATTCGTGCAGGAGAAGGTTGCTTCAACATAAAAGTAGAAGCAACTTAACAAGATAACTTCAGCGTCCAAATATTCAAGAATAAGATAGAGCAAACACCTGAAGGGGGGTTCCCATAATAAGAAGCCGATACTTGGTGCTTAAAAGTTTCATGGTTTTAAAAAGGAGATGATTTTTGTTCTTGAGTTGATCCTCTTCATCTTCATCAACGATAATATAATGCCAGCTAAAGCGTCCCAGTGATGTCTTCTCTTTGATGGCTGTCTTAGAGCTTGTGACGCAGATATCAAAATCCCCAGCAACAAGCGGGTCATCACGTATATGTCTCTGCATTATTTAGCAAACATATTAGAATCTGGTGTAATCATTTCCATGAACTCTGAGATGGCATCCAGCTGATGACTTACCCGTTTCTTAGAACGAAGAAACTTCACAGCACATAATTCAGGACAAAACAGACCAACTTCGTGCACCCAACAATCAAGGGTTGATTCTGGAGCAACTACCAGATGGGGACCACTGATTCCCTTGTATTCTGAAGGTATGCCAACAAAGAAATAGTTTGAAGCGTCGTCTCCAGACCCTAGGAGAGAGGGAGGGGGGGGGGGAATGGTTTAATGAGTAGCTTCAAAGGAAATAGAGATTTTCTTTTTCTTTAACCCCATTTTTTTTACCATTTCATCAGCAAGAATTCCATTAACGCCGTGCTCATTCAGCCGAATGAGCCAGTTTAAACCAGCTAAGTGGTGATCTCTTAACTTCCCTACAATACCTGTAAATTGAGAAGGAAAAAAGATGAATCCTAAGCTCTCCCAGATAAATTGAGCTATAATATCTAGTAACTGAGAGGTCACAACAATAAGTTATATGTATTGGAAATGAACGAAGGTGTCAATCATATTGTACTTGTTGCTCCCAGACAGACGATCAATACGCAGCAGTCCTAGACTAACGAGGTACTTACAGGAGGGCTTTGTGAACAACCGTGTGTTCCCAGATCTAGTTAAGCCAGCCTCTGCTTCTTTTAAAAACTTTTTATCTTCCTGATCTTCTGTCAATTCAGCAGCGTGGCGACGACCCCTGGAGGTAAAATTTATTTGCAACAATTGAGACCAAAAGCAATGAATAAATCGATATTTTAGGAATCAATTGCATAAAACCCACCTTCCTTGGGTCTTCTTCTGAGAAGAACATGGATAAACTTGAGCAAAATGTGCAAATATTTGCTGCAGTAGTCTCTCTTTTCTGTTCTTGTTCTAGATTCATAGATTGAATTAAATTCGTCAATTACCTGAGAATACAATAAGTAAAAGCATTCTGTGAACCTGAATTATTTACAACCCACCACCATATCCTCCTCATATGTGAAAGCATTCTGTGAGTCCTGAATCTTCTGCTTCTTCAACTTGGGCTTCCCTTTAAGTCTGGGTTTCTTGCGTTTGCTGATTTCAGCTTTTTGAGCAGCTTCTTTGTCCTGCATATACCAATATCACCCCAACGAGCGATCATGTTGGCATTCCATCAAACATTTCATTACAGAAAAAGAAACTTTAAAATCAAACAGAACCAGAGCCCAATTAGTCGATTAAAAGAGTACGTAATGAAAGAAACCACCACTATCGAACACGAAACCCCATTTGCATCTAACAGGATTTCAAAGACGAAATCATACCTCGTCTTCTTCTTTATCACTGCTCTCCGACGATAAATCGTCACCGGAAATCGAAATGTTCGCCATAGAAGCTACGAATCGTTGAAGAACTACCTTGAGAACTAGGGTTCGCTTTAGGGGGAAAGTAAAAGAACCAGTGAAAGTTTTCAGGGAAAGATGATCATTAAACCCTTAAAACCCCTACGTCTGAGAGAAAGGG